GCTTTCATTATGGAGGTTCGAATTTTGTCATCATGGACTTCAATGTTGGTTAGGGTACGACGTCGTAGGTGGAGTCCCGCTCAAACTAGGCCTGTTTTTAATTTTTGTTGCAATTGGGCACGTAGCCCGCAAGAAAGATGGAAATTCGATAATTCAGTGCAGTACTACGAATAAAGTACAACAGGTAAACCAAGATAAAATATTAGTTAGTGAAGCATAGAACAGTATAATTTAAGTTAATATTAATTTTAAAACTTTTCCGAATGGTGGAGATAAGATAAATGTCTTATTTCTGACCAACAGATGAAATTAAATGTTAACTCTTATTGCCTACACATCTAGTGTAGTGCAGTACAAAATTTTTCTATAGGGTATTATGCACTTTTAATTTTTTCTGGTATCCCGTTAATGTAACAATAAAACACTGAAAACTTTGTTTTCAAACTTCCACAAAATTTATTTTAAATATTATCACTACAGCTGTTTCGGCTGATTGCCTCTCTCAAGTGATCTATTTTGGCTTGGGTTTACAAATTTATAGTCTCTAATGAAATAGGTTGAGGAGGGGAGAACTGTTTGTCTCAAGTTGGTCATTCAGAATTATATCTGTGTTTTTTAATTTGTTGATTTCCATAGATTCTAACAAAGATAGACTAAAGGCCTTTATTTTGAATGTGAAGAATTTTAAATTTGTCATTAAAAGAATGTCGGTCAGATAGCTCAGCGGGCTGTGCGGCTGCCTCTCATTCGCTTCACTGTCGAATGGTTCAGTGGATGTGGGATCGAGCCCCAGCTCGGTGTACAGAAAACAAAAAGTCTAACGCAGCAGTTTAAAATTCTAGATAAATCTGCGGCTTAGACTAGAATATGCTGGGATCTGATCGGCCTATGGTGGAGCAGTACAACAAGAGATAAGGGCTTGCGGCTCGGTGATACTCCTCCATAGATCCCTACCGGACGGGCGTAACGCCTAAAAAACCGGATATATATATATATATATATATATATATATATATATATATATATATATATATACATTAAAAGAATGATTATGATCTAGAAGGTGAAGTGCGTATGTCGAATCTGTTTTTCTATTCTTGAAAGCCCTTTTATGTTCTGCTATTCGTTTATCAAAGTTTCTACCAGTTTGGCCGATGTAAGTTTTTGGACAGTCGCCACATTGAAGTTTGTACCTACACACCACTATTTAAGTGTTTTTTATTTTGGCTCTTGTTATTTTTAATATATTTGCCTAGGTTGTTATTTGTTCGGACAGCTGGTGTTATTCCTTTCTTTTTTATGTGTTTGGCAATTTTTGTTGTTATTTTGCCTGTATATGTAATCGAGCAGAAGGTACTGGGTTTTTTCTCTGGTGGTGGAAATACTAATTTCAGGGCTTTCTTGTGTAGTTTTTAATTTAACATTTTATTAATTGTTTGTTTGTTGTATCCGTTGTTTACTACTATCTGCTTAATTATATTTAATTCTGTCTCAAAGTTGTATTTTGACATCGGAATTTCTGTTAATCTATGTAACATACTATAATAAGCTGCCAGTTTATGTTGTGTTGGATGGGATGACGAATTGTGTATAGTCGTGTCAGTATGGGTAGGTTTATGAAATATGGAGAAGTCATGTTTGTTTTGAAGTCTGCTAATTTTTAAATCTAAAAAATTTATGGATTTATTTTGTTCTGTTTCTATTGTAAATTCAATATGACTATTCAGTGAATTAATATATAATAAAAATTGGTCGAGTTGCCTGTTAGTTCCTGTGAAACATACCAGCACGTCGTCTACGTATCTCCACCAATATAAAAACTGTTTGAATACGGGATGTTTTGAAATCTTTGTCTCTAGATGATCCATAAAAATATCTGATAGCAATGGGCTTAGAGGATTACCCAATATAAGTCCTACTTCAAAACAAACATGACTTCTCTATATTTCATAAACCTACCCATACTGACACGACTATATACAATTCGTAATCCCATCCAACATAACATAAACTGGCAGCTTATCATAGTATGTTACATAGATTAACAGAAATTCCGATGTCAAACTACAACTCTGAGACAGAATTAAATATAATTAAGCAGATAGCAGTAAACAACGGATACAACGAACAAACAATTAATAAAATGTTAAATCAAAAAACTACACAAGAAAGCCCTGAAATTAGTATTTCCACCACCAGAGAAAAAACCCAGTACCTTCTGCTCGATTACATATACAGGCAAAATAACAAAAATTGCCAAACACATAAAAAAGAAAGGAATAACACCAGCTTTCCGAACAAATAACAACCTAGGCAAATATATTAAAAATAACAAGAGCCAAAATTAAAAACACTTAAATAGTGGTGTGTACAAACTTCAATGTGGCGACTGCCCAAAAACTTACATCGGCCAAACTGGTAGAAACTTTGATAAACGAATAACAGAACATAAAAGGGCTTTCAAGAATAGAAAAACAGATTCGACACCTTCACCTTCTAGATCATAATCATTCTTTTAATGACAAATTTAAAATTCTTCACATTCAAAATAAAGGCCTTAAGCTTTCTTTGTTAGAATCTATGGAAATCAACAAATTAAAAAACACAGATATAATTCTGAATGACCAACTTAAGACAAACAGTTCTCTCCTCCTCAACCTATTTCATTAGAGACTATAAATTTGTAAACCCAAGCCAAAATAGATCACTTGAGAAAGGCAATCAGCCGAAACAGCTGTAGTGATAATATTTAAAATAAATTTTGTGGAAGTTTGAAAACAAAGTTTTCAGTGTTTTATTGTTACATAAAATGAATTTCCATCAAGTAACGGTCGAATCTATCAATTATCCGTTAATCTTTGTTTGAAAATACAGTCTAATAATTTTCATGTCAGTGATCTGGTGATCAACGGAAATTGTTAGGCCCTTTTGTACAGCTAATTAATATGTAATTTTTTTTATAGATAGTAAGATATAATCATTATAATCTCATGATAGGATGTTATAACTGAGGTAATGCCTAAGTATTTTTGCTAAATTTTACTATTTTGACCAATTGTGCAGTTTTACCCAGTTATAAAGGTGTTCTACCTAATTTTAGAACTATTTACTTAATACCTGATTAATTCAAATTTGTTTTTTGTCTTTTTGTTATATGTTTTATTTTATTTATGTTTACAGGGCTAATTAATGTTAACATTCCATAATATATTCATCTGTCTCATCTTTTGATTTTACTGAAGGTAAATCGAATAAAAATATAAACAGATATTATAAGATAAGTATGTTTTTTTTGACTATGTATGCATGCATAGTGGTTTTTCCTCATGCACGACAAAGGACTAAGTTGAGGCCCTTTATTTTTACCCTTTCTTTTAGTACTAAATTTCCATATTTTTATTGGTACATTTCTATTTCCAATTTTTTTAAATATACTCCCATCTCAAATCTAGAGACGCACGTTTCAAAGCTCACCGTTGTGTCCTTAAAAAAACCTCAGCACCAGATTGCAAGAAGGACTAATTAGCACTTAGATTTTCTTCTTTTTTTTTCATCCCCCATCCAGACAAGTTATGTTACAAATTTTTAGCAAACATTGTTTTTTATTTCTTATTTTCGAGCCGCACCGAGTTCTGTGACCGCTATAAATACATGTACGGTGTCGAAGCCACATAAAACAGATTTAAGAAGGTGTAATTTCTTATAAAATAATATATTTATATATATATATATATATATATATATATATATATATATATATATTTTGTTCTAAAAATAATTTTTTTATTACAAAAAAATGATTTGTTCAAATTTAATAAAAGTTTATGAAAAAATCGATTATTGGTAATAATTTAATATTGTTTATAAATAACATTTATTCAATATAATTCTATTTTAAATAAAAAAACATAACAATACTATAAATATAATTATTTGAACGTTATACTTGAGTTAAAAAGAAGAAAGAATACATTTGGTCTAGTAGGTCCCGAGATATATCATATTTTTTCTGAGCGTTCCATTTTGAAACTGTTGGATTTTTCAAGATCGCGGCGGACCTTTCAGTCGTATACCCTTACTTCTTTTACTCTAGTCAGAACGTAAATTACTGTCTGTGTACAACATTCTTGTTTAAACAATTTTCAATAATTGTGTTTGCTTCGCTAAAGACCTTTCTTATAAAAAATTGGTTAATTTCAACCTTTAATATTGGTAGCTAACAAGACGGCGATTTTAAAAAGAAAAGGGGCTATCTTGACCCCCAAGGTTTTTAGAACCTTTTTTATCTAAAAATTGTGTTTTTTAATCAGCTTTCTAAATATTTTTTTGCAATTTAATTTTAATTAATTCTACGGAGTTATTGTAAATGTTTATAAGCTTAAAAAGTATCTAATAATAAATCATTTTGTGTACACAAGTGTATTTTTTTCAAGTTTTTTCCATAAGTTATTAGTATAAGTCTAAACTATCTGGACCAGCCTTAGAAATTAGCTCACTTTTCAAAAAATCTTAGATACAAATTAAATTTCGCAAAAACAATTCAACCCATCTAGCCCAAATTTTAGCCCACTAAAAGAATTGATGAATCATTAGATGGCAGTATTTTTGTAATATCTTATACTAAACATTTTAACTGCCAAACCTGTCTATACACTTGTGACAAAATAGGCTTATTTTTACTAACTTGATTGGTCTATCAAGGCTTATTCGAAAGGAATGCCTGGACTTTTTATTGGCTATGAATGAAGCAATTCATTACGTAAATGAGTTAGATTTCTGTTTGTAACTATATTACGTAATTTTTTGTGTAATTTTTATTGTAACATTTTTTATTGATCTGTTCAGTAGTTGGATTACAAAATTCTCAATTTAAATTCTTCAATTAAATGAACTTTTAAAACTAATTAGTCTAAATCTCCCCAAATACAAAAGTTTACCGTTGCGATAAATGCCCCTACTTCAAATTCTCTCCGGCTTATATTTCTCACAGACATACTTACCCTGCAATCCCTCCGGACTCCATGTGGTTAGCCAAGGTAACGTCGTCACTCCAGACGTCGAACTGCCACTTCCTGAGCCCCAGCACGCCGCACAGCACATTCCCCGTGTGTATTCCGATTCGCATATCTACATTGAAACCAGTTGCTTCTCTAACGAATCTGGAACAAGCAATAGGAAGGGAATAATCGAGGTGTTATTAGAATAGTTCTTATTTTTTGGTTCATTAGTTTTGATTTGTACTTTTCTAGACTACTTGGACGATCATAATCGAGCCACATTTTTAAATGTTAAGAATTTCAGTTTATTTTACAGTTTATAAACAGGTATAGGTTTAATTACTATTTATAACTGGGATTATTAATTACTATTATAACTGGGGATCCAACCGAATTGGAAATTGAAACGTCAATAAACGTATTTTTATCTTTAATTGTGGCTTATTCCCAGTTATAAATAGTAATTAATTTACAATGCCGCAAGAAAATAGCTTCAGAACAATAGGTATAGGTTTATTTTATATAATAATTATTTTTCTTTCTTTGGAAATTTTTAAGGGCGTTTATTTTGGGCATTTGTAAGTATAGCAGAGATTTATACTATTCCGTATTTAGATAAGAATATTAATTAACTTATAATTTTTTTTTAACAGTATTAATATAAAGATATGCTAAATTAAGTAAAGTCGGAAGTTAAATAGCAAGAGAAATATTTTTTTACTTTAGCTTTAAACGGTAAAACAAAAAAAAACTTAGAGAAAGGTAAATATAAAAAGAATCGAGAAACTTATTAAACTTGTGGAGTTCCCAATTGCAATGCGTTTTTCATCTTGGTGGTATTACTTTTTCTTAAGTTTTCTTTTTTTATTAGGTATCCAAGAAAAAAAAGTTTGCTTCACTGTCTTCCCCGACATGGCGGGGAAAGTATGGTACAAAGGAATTAAATATAACTTAAGCAGGACTTTTCCAAGTCAATATACAGAATGATTAAAATCATACATTTCAGATTAAGTTTTTAAGCCAACTCGTAGTTATGGCATGACCAGTCCTGTACCTAGTATACACTAGTGATATTCTTAAATTAGATCATAACACAATCGCTACCTTTGCTGATGATACTGCTGTATGAGCCGTAAGTGAAGATTATGAATAAGCATTAAGAAAATTGCAAACCTCTGTTAACAGACTTAACAACTGGACTAAATGCTGGCGAAATAAATTAAATACAATGAAGTCAGGGCAAATTAAATTTACAAGAAAAAGCAACACAGTCATGTTAATGTAAATAATACTCAGAAACCATATATAGAGAAGAAAGTTTGCTTCTCCGCAAAATATTTGCGTTTTACATTAGACGCTAAGCTACGCTGGAGTGTCCATGTTAAAAGGAAAAAAGATCAGTTTACCATTAAGTAAAAAAATGTGTTGGTTCCACCACCTGTCTACGCTGTCAATCTACAACAAAATACTTTGGTATAAACAGATTCTGCATGTTTTATGGGCACATGACATCCAGCTGTAGAGTTTTGCTAGTGAGAGTAATTTAGACATCATCCAGCGATTCCTAAACAAAGTGCTAAGAAGCATTATCAACGCTCCTTGGTACTATAGGAACAGTGAATTCCATAAAGATCTAGAAATGAATACTCTTAACAAGACTTTTGAAAAAAATAATTTATCAAGAGTCACAAACAACGTCAATGTGTCAAGAATGGCCTCAACATGTCAATGTTAAGGCCATCCAGCGCCTTAACAGCACTGATCTGGCTAGAAGACTCAAGAGGAAGAAACTTTTGGACTTAGTTAAGTGAAAAGTAGAGGTTAATATTTGTGCAATAAATTAACAGGGCCTAGGAATACTAGTAAGTTTGCCCTCAGGTCCATGTTTTTAGTAATAATTTAATAATAATATTAATAATAACCATTAATAAATATTTGATCAAATAGTAATGTTCTTAAGCATCTTATACGAGCCCTAACAACTATATGTTGGACGAAGAAGTTAGTTTGCAAATAAAATACCAATTAAACTGCCTTAGGCTTTCACAGCCATCGTCTAACTTGTTAAACTGTTTGTTCGGGCTGTTTGGCCGTTGTCTTTTGAGATTATTTCTCGACCTTTCGCCAACACTAGGGGTTGGCATCTTCTGGAGATGTTACTGCTTCGCTTGTAACCTGAAACTAACGCCGCGTTGTACTACGTAAAAATCCAAACATACCGTTCCCGACAAACACGAAGAAAGAAAAGCAACTACAAATGGTTTATTAATATCCACGGTGTTCCATTTAAAATAAGCCTCATATTAGATATTGAATAATCCAAAATTGAAACTAAGTTTTTAACACCCTGTAAATAAATGTTTAATATTCAATTATGAAATAAATTCAACCATTACTTAACTATTTCGCTGTAAGAGAAAATTTGTTATAATTAGGTACTTAAATAAGTCGAGAATGAGTCTTCTTTAAAAAATTTTTTTTACTTATAATGTAGTAAGTTGTGGTTTATTTTGTATTATTTGTTTTATTAAAATTCGTTCTGATTCGTTGTACATCAGCAAATAAAGGTATAAAGTATACACATTTGTTTACAACTACATTGGTTTCATTTATAACAAATATGTCAAAATGATGGGTTTAAAAATCGAGAGTAACAACTATAAATATTTTGAAATCGAAAAGAAAATTTTATATTACACAAAATCTATTACTCCTAGTTATAGGACATCCATATACCATTCGAAAGTGGAAATTTTTAATATAATAATTTATTAATATACAGGGCTTCTATTTAAAATAAGCCTTATATTACACATTGAATAATCCAATATTGAAACTACAAATTTTGAACACCCTGTAAAAAAATGTTTCATAATTAATCATGAAATACATTTAACCAATATCCAACTATTTAGAGGTATAACCAATTTTACTAGAATTTCTTAAATAAGTTAGAAATGAGTCTTTGTTTAAAGCTTTACATTTTAAGAATATTCCACATAACTCAGAACACTCTGTACATAGGTATGGGGAAGTCTTATGAAACTATACCTAATTTTTTGCTGACAATTAGAAAATATAATAAAATATAGGGAGTCCCATAAGAAAAAATATAACTTTGATACGCCGCACTTTATTTGGACGCCCTGTATATTTCAAAATAATTTTAAAATGTAGCCCATTAATCTTTAAATCATAAATTTAAAATTTTTTCAAGATGTTTTACCGTTTCGCTGTAATCTTCCGTCCCGTTAGTGGTGACACCCTGTATATTATGTTTGAGGCTATTTTTCGTAAAAATTTTCTACTTATTTTCATGCTTTTTTTTTGTATAATAAAATGGGTTTTTTCATAAACTCGTTTTACTTTTTAGGCTTCTTTGCGTTTCTTTATGCTTTTAAATCGGAACTCTGTTACTGACTATCTACATGCAAGAATAAATTATTTACTACAATAACAATTTTAATTAAAAACTTATTTTAATAAAATATTATCTTACCTTATTGCTTCTATCATTTGCAAACCCATATTGACGCAATTATATGCATGGTTCGGTCTTGAAACTGGCAATCCTGAAACGCAGTAATAGCAATCTCCTAGAATTTTAATTCTCATGCACTGGTTATCCTGAAACAAAAATAGATACCTATAGATATTTATGTATTTAAATAATTTTGAAATATATTTAAAAATGATTTTTTTTATATCTTGAGTTCGGAAATCCCTTTGTCTTTTTCTATAGTCCAATAAAAACAGGAGTAGAAATAAATGAAATTCAAAATTTTTCAATACAATTAAATATAATGATAAAATACCTTGCAAAATTATTACTCATATAGATAACTTAATTAAATATATATTAATGATATCCTACCCTGACAAATTAAACTGTGTAGCCCAAGTTAAACCAGCTTTGAAAATATATATTATTTTACAGATAATTAACAAAGAAAATTAATACAAAATACTTTTATTTTATTGCTTAATTTCAAAACTTTATGCCTCTGCAATTTTGTTCTCCACGACCCATTAACTTTCAATTTTTTCTATTCTAAAATTTTCCTGGTGACCTTTTGTTAAAATCTTTAACTAGACTCTTTCCTTTGTACTACTTACACTCAACCAAATGTCATAACGATCCTTCCTATTTCTTTTTGGCTGCCTAAATATGGTTCTTTCGTTGAATGATAAATTTATTTGTAAAAATACGTTTATTGACGTTTCAATTTCAACTTCGGAAATCGTTCTCAAAATACAAACCAGAAAATTAATCGAATTTTGTTTTTTATTTATTTTTATTTTTTTTATTTATATACAAAATTTATTTGTATATTATAAATACTGCAAAACCCAACTACTGCAAACTTCTCCCAATTAGCTAACAAACTACTATCACTTTTTATTCTCCATTTCATAAATTAGTTTTACACCTATTAAAACTGCCGACAGTACTTCTCTTGTCAGGATTTGAGGTTTTGCTTCCCTCAGTCGGCAACAGATAACCCTCTTCTCGGCTTTTAAAATTTATCACCCATCCAAAATCTTCTTTCACCCTCTCTTTTTAACCAATCATCTTTTAGTCTTTCAAAAACACCCAAACATCCAAAGTTCTTAAGAAATTTCTCACTAAAATTTCTTATTTTCGTTTTCGATAAACAAACCAACAATAGAACCTGCATAACTAAATTTCTTCGAATTCCCACAGGTTTTAAAACCGATGCGATGGACAATAGCAAAAGTAAATCGCTTATATTTTGTTTATTCAAACCATAAAGAAAATAAGTTAAAGGTGTTTCCCATTAATTTGGTTAACCAAACGTTTGTTTATTTTACATAGACTAAATCTAATACTATATAATATTCTAAATTTAACCTTTTACTATGTAAGTTTAGAAGTCCATATCACTTTTTCCTCTAGCAGGCAAGACCGCCTCCAGACGGCTTAACTTTTAATGTCAATATAATCTCTTTTAGCGATTTTTATGCCTGCAGCATGTAATCTCGCCTTTGGTCGTATACCACTGAGTTATACTTGTACGCATTTGGTAAGCAAAAATGCTGCTCGATGTGTTTATTTCTCAGTTGACTTTGAAATTGTGTAGTGGTCGGTCAAATTTATTGTTTTGTGCAGAACCTCACTTTGGTCAAATATTTTAAGTGTTTTCGTGAAATTCAGCACTAAAAAATTATTGATAAGTGTATGAATATATATATTAGTGTAGGTTACATAATTTGCGGTATAAATTTATATAAATTTATATTTATATTTGAACATTGACCGGCTCAAGTCGGTGTTGCCTGTATACATGACTTTCTCGGTTCTCTTACAAATCAGACACGTTTATTATGTTACATCGATTTTTTAGTTTTTTTTTACAGTTTTACAGTTATCTAAAATGTCTTCCAAAACAAACAATAATATGTGGCGTAAGTTCAAAATTAACTAATCTCGAATGACTGAAGAGGAAATTAAAGAAAAGATGGATTCTATTACGACGGAAGAAGAATCCGAATACGATGATGAAGACTACGGCGAGTTTGTGGACGACTCCGATTACTTGGTTAAAACTGATGACGATGTTCCATGAAGTGAAAATGAACTTACAAAAGATAAGGAAAATGTAATTAACGAATGTGTATCAGATATGCAGAGACTATCATCGGCCGAATTTCGTACGACATCTACAGAGTTGGATCTTAATGTAACTGGATGTTTCTCTCCAATGACATCGACTCTAGCATTTTCACCTAAACCAGCAACATAAAAAAATATATTGTTAGCCTCAACACCAGGTGTTTTATCAGCAACAGTAACGAAATCTGAAGATGTTCAAGTATCAATAGCAGCAGCGACCGAATCCGGAGATGTTCAACCATCCACTTTAGCAGGAAGTACAGAGTACAATGCTATTTACCTGGAACGAATGCCTCGAAACGAATAAAAAGAGCAAAGTCACCATTACCCGAAAATGAGCTCAATGTTCCTCAAATGCTACCTAACAGTGGCGGGTTTATTGGACAAGCAGTAAATATTGATACCAAGACTGATGGATTTAAAAAGATAATTTGTAAGTTACAGCAACCTAGTAAGCGTCGAAATTAAGAGAAGAATATACCTGGCGAGTAGAGCTTACTTTGGACTAAAGCATAATTAGCAGAAAAACCAAGATACTAATATATGAAACTTTTATTAAACCTCTTCTGACATACGCGTTAGAGACATGGACTATGGTAAAAAGCGACGAAGATCTATTAGGCCGCTTTGAAAGAAGAATACATAGGTACATATACGGAGGAATACAAGAAAGCGGGATATGGCGTAAGTGCTACAATTTTGAGTTGTATCAATGCTATGAAAAATGCAACATCTTCCGGTCTATTAAAATAAATAGACTAAGGTGGCTAGAATACCTTAAAAGAATGGACACTGGAGACCCCCAAAGACAGATATTATATCAAGAGCCAGTAGGAACCAGGAAGAGAGGCAGGCCAAAATCTAGATTTAAAACAAAGTTGTAGAGCCAAAGGTCTACAACTCACTCACCCAGGGTTGTAGAGTCAAAGATGATAATGATGATGGTACCTTACGACGGTGGTATACGACGCTATAAAAAATACAAGGGATATTGTAACTAAGTATAGAATTTTTTTCTGATAACTATATTGACCAAAATAAAAATGGAGTTTTCCGCAGATTTCGGCTAAGTTTATAAAATGCCAAAAAAATAAACATAATTTAACAGTTTTTTTTATTATAATGTCATACTTTTTTAGCAAGCGGCATATATTTTGGTCCTGTCCAAAGTATACTTTGGTCTTATGACAGAATTTACTTAACCTGCAGTATATAGAATACTTATTGACTGATGCAGTCCTTAAAAACTGGAATATCAAAGAATCATGTCTACTGATATCATCATAAGGGGCTCGACAATCCGTTGTGGATCTTGGCCTGCTCACAAAGAAGTCGCCACACCTGTCGATTTCTGGCAACTTCCGTCCATCTTCTAACCCTTAGAATCTGTAGTTGTTTTTAGAAACCAACATATATTTGGTTTGTTCCTCGTTTACCTCAAGTCCTTCGTTTACCAAAATACCTACTTTACTTGCTGCGTCCGCAAGCCTTGTAAAACACTACACCATGTCTCTCATACTTTTGAGTAATATAACTATATCGTCAGCGAATGCGAGAATTTGCGTCGGTCTAATAAAAATAGTTCCATTCATTCTAATATTTAATTGTCTGATTGCCGTTTCCAAGGCAATATTTAAAAGGAGACACGCCAACGCGTCCCCCTGTCTTAGACCATTATTAATGTCAAAGAAGGTCTAATGATATCCTTTACTTTAAAAACTGAAAAAATCTACAAAAAGCATTTTGTATCTAATAAAACTAAAACCAATTCAAGAAATGAACTCCTCTATTAGTAATATTCACCCCCTTACGTTTAAATCTGAAATTTTAAAAGAGTATGTTATTGCCTACAATTAAATTGAGGGTCTCTTAAAACAAATATTTTTTATGAAAAATACCCAGTGCCAGTAAGCCTACCTCTTTAGAACGCTTGCTTGAACAACTCGATTATTTGAAGACCAAGGTTGGCCAACTCAGTTGGCTGGTGTCTTCTGAACAACCCATAGTTTCAAATAGGGGCCATTGTGTCTCAGAAATGTAAATCTGTCAACTTCGACAATGTGTCGTTTCAATTTATATTTATAAACATTTAGTAGGTAATCTAAAGTTCTATTTAATTCTTTATTATAAAGATCTATTTTAAAGATTTTTGGTCATATCCATCGAAGCAATCACAAAATGGAGCGGTTGGTGGTCCAAAGAAAGCCTAAGAATCAACTTCAACGCTGCAGATCTTCACACGCACATGGAATACAGTCAACCCTTGCGAAAATTTCATTTTAAATTTTGCATTTTGCTATTCACTCGTATTAGAAAGAACTTAATTGAATTCTTGAATCAGATGTAGAGCTAAAATAACCCCCTATAAAAAATAAAAGAATAATATATAGATAGTTTTAAGAACTGCCATTATGAACGTTTTATTTATAAAGACATTTCTAGAAAGCAAATTTATTAAAGAATGTTTTCTATCTGTTTAACTCTGAACAAGTAAAAGCTTTAAAAATGAAGTAAATAAATTCTAATGTATAACCTGAAATGATCTAGTAATGTCTAGAATGTCAGAAAATGTATATAAATAGGAGAATGTTGACAGCTTGAATAACAGTACTAATTAGGTTTATAGTTGTCATTATGTTAAAGCAGTGTAAAAAAGTAAAAAATGGAAGAGAAAAAGGAAGAAGAAAACTGTAGGTAAGAAGTGAAAGAGGTGATACATAAGCGAAGATGAGAAGAAGAAGAGAAAGTAAGACGTAGAAAATAAAGGTGGCAATTGTAAATAGTTTATTTCAAATATACGAAAATTTTAAGTTGGAGGTAAGTCAACTTACTAATACAATAGACACATTAGAACAACTACAGAACATTAGAACAATAATGATTTAGTTACAACATTTAAAACTTGAATTTTAAACTCTAACAAAATGATTTAAAATAATAAAAAAACGATTTAATATCTAATTTAGAAAGCAAATAGTTAAATTAAAAACAA